GTACATATATTACAATGATTGTTTTTTAAAAATATGTTAATATAAACAAAGAAGACTACACTGTAGAATTGCATAAACTTGGTAAAGAAGTTTTCCCAAAAGAATAAAATGATATTATTCCATTATCAACAATTGCATAATGTAGAGGAACATTGTCATTTACAACTGATTGCAGAGCAATGAAGTCACTAAGTTTTGGGACAGAATCAGTTAACCTATGGAAAAAAAATACTATTAAATTATAATATTTATTATGTTTCATCCATTTAATTTATTATATTATATAATTATATAATTTGATAAAATTTAATTTTTTTATTGAAAGTTTGATAGAGATTAATCAAATATTAATAAAAATATAATTTCATGAATAGACTATTATTAATCAAAACTATTTAATGTAGAAAAACTATATAGAAATTATTGTTGGTTATTCATCAATGATGTCTATCTGTAAGTGTCCATATCCATCAAAGTAGAAACAAAGTTTACTTGTTCTATTTCACATTTTCAACATCTCTAAATGGGTTGCTGTTAGGCAGCCATCTTTATAGATCCATTTTGCTGGATGGAATTGTACAGCAGAAACCAGTCTTTATGAAATTACTATATTAAAAATGTTTTGCTTAAAGTACAAAGCAGTAGAATAAGAGATGTAATTCTATGATATATTTAAGTCAATGAGATTTATTTGAAACATTATTACAGTGATATATGAGGCTGTAATAATGATTTAAATAAATATCATGAATTTAGGTACAAGGGTTAATCAAAGATATACAGAAAAAAAATTTTTTTAGAAAAATTATTAATAGTATTGATGTGGCAACTATGAAGGATATTTGACTATATCTCCTGATATTATGTGCCAGAGTAGCAGATGGCAACATGACCTAATTTTCAATGAATTGAGCTACAGTGCAGGCATGTTTCTTTCAGTTGTGCGTGGAATGGATGGGTTAAATGAGTATTGGTACGTAGTTAATACATATTTGAATCCATGCATATAATATCTTTATGAAAAATTTGCTATTTAGACTAGCATCATCACTATCTATAAAGCTTGTCATTTTCTGTAACTTGTCATTTCAGTCCACATTAAGTTGAATTTGCAGGACCCTACCAGATTTTTATTTAGAAAAATTCATTCTTCACACACACGTGTATTCATTTTCTATGCTGCACATATAAATTGAGCATCCAATGTGCAAAACCCAAATCATAAATATATTGTCAAAATTCTTTTTACTCAAGTGTGTCCAATAGATATACAACTATACAATCAATAACTTTATATATTTTTTTTACTAACTAAATTTTGATTGAAAAAAAAATTTACTAAGAAAGCTTTTATAATAAACATTTTATGAATATTTAATTATTTTACCCCATGAATAATTACAATTTTTCAATTGTGATTGTAAAACAATTATTCTTCAATCACTAAATAATTCAGTCAAATTTTTGAATTATTGGCAATAAATTTCAAGTTTTTCTGAAATATAATTACAATATTTTAAATACCTTTTAACTTTAATTCTGTGAGCTGGAGGCAAAGGATCTTTTCTTTTATACTTTGTATTTGGCAAATAAACATCAAAATCAACTTGTATTAGATCAGATTCATATCCTAAACTAAAATAAAGTATTAATTATTAATATTATAAATTTTATTTATATATATTTTAAAAATTCTATTAAATTAAATTATGATTTAAGCAATAATACTTATGACAAATCTTAAACACATTCTTCATGCATGTATAATCCATTAAATATGATTCATAAATAAAACATGATAAATTATTAAAATGTTAATAAACTGAAACACTAAACACAATATTCTAGTTATAAACATTTGCAAATGTAAAAAATGGGTGTCAAATGATCTAATTTTCAAATATTTATTCAATCATCATGAAAAGTTCCTGATGGGATCACTAAATTTCTACAAATACTTCTTACAGAGAAAAATAACACAGAGATATTTTGTAATGTTGAGAAAATTACATGTAAATATCAAAAGTTTATAAAATTTTTTCAATTGGTTATCATCTTACTTGGACACGACTGTCATTTATTGATTTAATGCATTTTATTATGAAATAAACAGATTTTTATACAGGAAGTCCTAACTTATGATAGTCCCAAGACAGAGAAACTCTGCCATAAGTCAAACATAGAAAATAAACATTTATATGGCTTTGGGATCTGTACTCAATCATCAACTATATAATACAGCATGTGTGTGTTTATATGTACACAACATATAAATATACATGCTGTATTGTATTATATAGTTGATGATGGATGGTAAAGAACATATGATACAGTAATACTGCGAGGTTCCAGACAGAGTCTAAACCTGTCATTAATTGCACTAGAAAATATATTTTCTAAAATAGAAAAGAAATTGTAATGAATGTGACACAACATGACATGAATGTAAACAATGTGAGTCCTGAGTGCAACTTAGACATGTGTTAATTAATAAATCAATGTCAGGCTGAAAAGTTAGAACTTAGATCATTTGTATATGAGCGTCAAAGTCAAAGTTAAACTGAGCCAGGAAATGGGGAAGTTTAACAAAAGGAAAACATTGCATTCAATAATTAACATTCCAAAATGTCAGAATGGAGACCATAATAATAAAAAATATAAGCACAAATTTTGAAGTTCCATCAACATCTCCCAGACAGAGTCAAGTTGAACACCGAAGATCAACCTTTCTCGTGACCCGATCTGATCTTATTTCCACTTGGAAACAAGGGGGGAGACCAATCAGGACATGACGAGAGGGAATTGGAACTAATTGGAATAAGAAATTTGGGGATGAAATCCTTTAAATACCCCGAGTTTCAAGAATGAAGTGCAGATTTCTGTCATTTTTACCATCAAAATGACCTGTGCACTCTTCTCTCCTTGTTGTGTGTGCCATCATCCTTGCTGAAGTTCCTGATTTCACCCTGTGTTCACTTTGCCATTGTCCTCCATTTTCTGGATTTGTTCAAGACAAAGCTCCAGGGCCATCAAGACCTACGAACAATCTCAGAGACCAGTGGGATTCACCTCTAACTATGAATTAAGAAAGTGTAAGCTTATATAAAATTAGTGGATTTAATTTGTAAAGGTGCTTGCGTCAGTATGTCCAATACCACTACCTACATATAATCCTAAACCCCTTGTACATCCTGACATGAGTATAACTCTCCCTTTTCTGGATTGGCAAACCTCACAATACTGTTTAAGTGTACAGTCGACCCCCTATAAGATAGAGATACGTTCCATTCTTTAGGAATCCGATTTCTTACAAATCCTTCCAATCACAACCCGACACGTGTCAAGTTTACGGACTACGGTTGTTTGAAAGATTTTCTTCCATAAAATTAATCGATTCTAGACTAATCCGACTCAACATTTCCAAAATACGTATATATTTTTTGGGAATAATCCGTATAAACTACGCTATAAACAAAAAATTGTAGGATTACTTACCGAGTGTCACCATTCGACATTGCCATTGCTCAACATTGTTTTCGTCGCGGAACAGCTCAGCAAAGAGCGGCCGATTTCTAACAACTTATTTTTCTGTGAAAACTTCGTAGAACTTCGGAGACATCATTAATATAAATAATTTTAATCGCCGTTGAATAAGAAATGTTTCTTTCACAAGAAATGTATAAAATTACAGTACTGTATTAGACTTACGGTACCTAATTTACATACTGACAGACGATAGTTAGCGTAAAAATCTCCGTAGCGTGGCGCCACGCTAGACGGCGGAAATTATATATTTAATTATAACAAAGTTACAATAAGTTAATATATAATTATATATACAGTACCTAATTTATATATAATTAATATATAATTATATGTACAGTACCTAATTTATATATAATTTATATAATACTGTCCAGACGATAGAAATCTCTCCGTAGTTGGCGCTACGGACGGTGGGAAAGTAGTTCGGCTGCCCGATGACGTTTGAGGTAATTATAGGGAATTTTTACTGTTTTTTACGAATACCGGTCACAATTTTTTCGTAGTTTTATAGGAATCGTAATTATAGGGGGGTCGACTGTATTGAACTTCAAACCAATGTTTAATATTTGTTAAAAAATTATATTAATTTATCAAAAAAATTCATGAAAACATTGATATAGTCAACCACATTCAAAAGAATCAAAAATCATATTGAGAGAGAGTATTACAATTTTTATGCAGAATTCATTTTCTTTTTATTGTCAACTTTCATTTCGTTTATTATTAATTCATCTTAATCTTGATATTGGAACAAAATCTGACAGCTCTATAGAAAGTTACTTTCATTTTCACTTTTTGGGTACTGATAATGCAAACCTGAGTTATAGTTAAACATGAATAAAGTTATCTGTTATTGTTATGTGTGTTTATTGTTTATTACAGTATTACTTTTAATATTTGGACTGTTTATTATGAGAGTGGGGTAAGTTCCATTTTTCCTTGTGTTGAGATATTTAAGAGTTTGCATTTAAAATGATTCAAAAATACCGAGAAGTCTAAGTTTTCCCACCTTTCTATGAATTTAAATATGTGTAAATTTATTATACAAATGATCTTTATGAAAATGAACTAAATCAAATATTGTTTTTAGACATACTTACACTGTTTTCATAAATATTAATTGTTCAAATCATTAAATTTTAATTATTTAAATTACACTCGAATTTTTTAGTCTAGTTTTGTTTATAAAGAACAAGAAACAAATTACTATTGTTTAATCTCAATATAGTAAACTCCAATTATCTGAGGTAATGTGGACCAATGTTACTTTGGATAACTGTAAACATGGATAAAATGGATAAACATATCCATTTTGATTAAAAATTATGAACATAAAATATTTATATGTATCACTTTTAAGCCTCTTTTTATACTTTAGCATGGGTGCCCACAGAAAATTTTCTAGCAGGCAAAGAATTACATCAATAAATTTTTATTTAATTATTTAATTTTTTTGGTTTTTCACAAATAGGTTATAGCATACAGTATTACATCAAAGTGTCCCATGGTTGAAGGTATAACCACTTTTACAATTATAATTTGTGGAATTTTTTATTCAATTCGAGGAGGGACAAGTGCCCCATTTGCCTCCCCTCTGTGGATGCCCATGTACAGTATCTTAGTAACTTTAATCATATAAGAACAATAATTTTGACATCATTTATTAAACAGCCAATATATACAACAGTTTCCAGAATAAAAATGTGTATTATTGTAGTTAATTTTAATATGAATATTTTATCTCACATCAAAGTTAAATGATAAAAAGTAACAGAAACAAATTATTTTAAACTTTTTAAAGAAAGTTCTTTAGAGTTAAGAAAAATAGTGTAATCACTTACAGGTTTACCTTGGATAGTGCAGAACCTTGGTTAATCAAGGTTCTACTGTATTTATGTTTTAGTTAATTATTTTTATTCTTTAATTAGACTATGGGAAATGGATTTATACCACTTTCATAATACAGTCTATTTAATTATAATACTAAACCATTAACAAGATCGTGAATGTTTGGAATCACAAACATTTTTTTAACATATTAGTTTCAGCCATTTTAAATGCAGATGTAAATTGGTTAGTTGCATAATATACAGAACAATCTGTTTATTGTAATCAAATTTTTAGTAATAGTTATCATTATCTTCAGGTAATCTAAGCATTTTAAACCTGTTTTTTTCAATATGTCAGCCTTAACACATGGCTGATAATGTGGAATCATTAAATTGTTATCAGTTTCAATCAGCTCTTTGAACATCAAATGCTTTAATTATTATTTAATCATAATAGTTTAAATTGTGGCATTCACATCAACTGTAGCTAGATGGATTACTATCAAAAATTATATTGTAATTAATAAATCTTCAAGTTACACATTTTAAAATTGTTTTAAATTTACCAACAATGTATGAAATTAACTTTTTTGAGGTAAAAAAAAAAAAATTGTCTGAAATTCATTAGTAATGAAAATATGATGCTGTGAATAATAGAAAAGTATTATTTACTTAATCTTGACATTATTGTAAGAAAATAAAATTTCATTGCAATATTAAGGTTCAACTTCTATAAGATTTAATTACTGTATTTAAGTTAAACTTACTTTTCTCATGACTAAAAAATTTTCTATAAAACCGAAGAATATTTTGAAAGTAACATTTTAAGAAATGAAGAAACAAATTGTTTTAGTATTTTTAGCAAGAATATTATATTTATTATAATCTATATGTTAAATTATAAAAGTATTCCAAAAAAATTACATCAAAAGCATTAAATAAAAACAATTATAATTTACCTTTCATTTGTAGTATCTATATTTTTGAAATTGTTATTTTTAAATATATTTAACTTTGCAAATATTTCATCTGTAAAAAAAATTAATATAATTTAAATTTTTTAATAATGCTATTTTATATTTAAGTTATTCCAAATTATTTATAACTTTTTATTGCAAACACATCATATTTCAGAGACACTTATTAATTTTTGAATTTTGATATATACAATTTTACATCATACTAATTTCTTATGGAGCTAGAATAATAACATTTATTTAAATTTTACTTTGATTTTTTTTCAACAAAATTGAATTTACTGGTTAAAACTGAAAAGTCAATAGTTAGGTAAACAAATATAATTAGATCTTGTTTTTATATAAATATAATAATAATCACAGAATTTTATTATTGTATATAAGTGAGAATTATTCAACTGTTGTAATAATCTGATAATTGGGCTGCAATTTTCAAAAACTGTAGACTTATAAATTCCACTGGCACCTATCTGTCTGTCCTTCCTTAATCTTGAGAATGGAGTTAGATAGATGAAAGTCGAGACCAGATATAGAAAGCTTAAGAGTAGAAGGGTCTAATTATATACAAACTGCTGGCTTGGACCAGAAGTCATGTTATTGTTATTTCAATTCAAAAATTTTTCCTGAATGAAGTTAGTTAGATGATCAGCATAACTCCATTCTTAAGAGGAAAAGTATGATATACAGGGGCAAGACACTACTAAAATTGAGAATATTGTTATGACAAATTGCAGTCTGGACTTGTGACAATGTCACAATAATTGCTCAATTATATTAATTTTGGTAAATTTATAAATATTTGAAATAAGTGGCTTAGAGAAGAACTTAAATCAAGTGACAAAATTTCATCAAAAACTGAACACAAAATCAAAATATAAACTTCTGTTGGAAATTAAAGATTTAAACTAAACTTGAATCTATAATTCTTATAGAGCAGATGTAATTAAATTTTGATTCAAGTCAATGTTTTATCTATATATTTCTAAATTAGTGAAATAAAACAGAAGTAAAATATGTGACAACGTCACTATGCACTATGAAAAAAAGGGACTCATGAACTTCATAAAACTTCTAGAGACCCAACTGAGTACTATGCATAGCCTAGTTAAGATATATGAAATGATCTGTAGGCATTAACAATAGAGAAATTCCTTACTAAATCTAAAAATAGGGAAAGGAAAGAAAGAAAGAAAAAGTAAAAAGTATAATAGTATAAGTATCCTATTTCTTTATTTATGTTGTCATTTTTTTGTGAGATTTTATAAGAATCATTGTCATTCCTATAAATGTATCTGATCAAATTAATTAAAAATATTAAAAAATCATTTGATAAGATTGAGTTTTATTTTTATTTACATGTTGACAAGAGACATTCAATTTTAAGTGAAAATTTCAAAAATATGGTTTAATGTAACTTTAATGACTCAATTTTATAGAGGAAAATCTAATTAACTAATTTTATTATTCTAGTTTTTAGTAATTTTCTTCTGTATGTGAAACAAAATTTAGATAACATTCACTTCAGAATGTCTACGTAAATATTTGACAAGTATTTTAAATATGCAGGTCATATCAAAAGTTCCCTTACTCAAGTTTTGAAAATTATTTCCTGACATGTTGAAAAAGCAATAAAAGTGTATTTCTGATTTAGATTTGTGATGATTTTGGAAGTGTTTTGAACAAATCTATAAGAGTGGGGTACTGGAAAGTGGGAAATGTGTCCATGTCAAGTAAGGCAATCTGAAACAAAGAATTGAACTTTTGGAAGGATTATTTCAACACAAAATCTTACAAATAATGTGTAAAAATTTTCAAGAAAGTTTCTCAATGAAGTAACACTAAGTAATCCTATTTTGTACAAACTTGTTTGAAGCTTTTGTGAAGCCTGGATCATTTTTGATCATATCATTTCTAAGGACTTGTGACCATCTCAATCCTGAGACTTAACTTTGCCATATTTCTTTCTTAAGGGGGCATCTAATGGATAGAGTTTATGTAAATAATTTCCACAATTTTCTGAAACAAATTTCAGAAGCAGTACAGATTCCATGCCAACAACGCTAAAATGTATGAATAAGAATTTATGTCATTAAGTGGATCTCTGCTTTCAGAGAGAAGATGGACTATTTCATCTCTAATAGTGAGTCATGCATATGACCCAGAGAAATATAAAGAACCAATTCCTGCAGATTTACTAGTAATTAATTATATGGAAACATAATGCAGTTAGGTGCATAGATATATTTTCTTGAATGTCTTAATAAGGCATGTTAAAATCTTTAAGTCTCAATAATTATGAAAAAGTAGGTGTTGGAATCAGGGTGCTGCAAGGGTTAACTTGAAAGGTTGAGTAAAAGAACTTTTAGATCACCAGGTATATATGATATGTTTGCATAAATATATTTTTCATTAAAGTGTGAAAAAATTAAGTTCTTACATTATGAATTTTAGCAAAAACAGGTATAATAGGATTTTCAACATGATAAAATTTGAAATAATTTAAACTAAATGTTACAATGGTTTTAAATTTAACACAGAATTTTATAAAACATTCTCTTACTCATATCTTTCAATTAAAAATTTTACTATATTTTAAACATTTTCCATCACCTTTATCAATCTTCTTTGGGACAGAAACATTACAATTTACAGTAATAAGAAAGAAAGTATTCTGGAACAAGCTGATTTAAATATTAATGTTTTGGAATAACAAAAAATTTAAATGCAGATGCTTAGACTTCTACATTGATTAAAACGTAAGTATACACAAATAAAAAACATAAAAGAAAAATGAACTACATAGCTCATTAACACTATATATATATATACAAACTAATGATGTAACAACTCATATATTATGTATACTATACCACACAAAACTAATTAAGGCACACACATTTAAATTTCATTATTCTAAAATGTTAAAATTAATATTCAAATCAACTTGTTCCAGAATACCTACTGGTTTACATTCTTTTTAAATTGTAATTTGTTTCAGTTCTAGAGAAGGTCAATAAAGATGACAAAAAACATCTTAATTAAACATTTTATTGCATTTTAAAGGTCTGAAGTAGTAGTTTATTACAAGTGCAAATTCCAGAGAAGTGTAAAACGTTCTTTTTCATTATTAAATAGCATAATTCTAAAACAGATGTAAAAGTATAACAAATGAAAATATTGAGATAAAAATTAATTTTTATATTAACATACTAGAATATCACTTTTCTTGTTATTATTACTATTATGATTTTTAAAAATTTGTAATTTATACCTGTACTTAAGATATCTGAAGATACAACTAAAGGAATAACATCAGCTTTTTCTAACGTTGAATCTGAACTGAACTTCTCAATTGAATATAGGCTTCGTTTTACTTCATTTTTGTAGTCTTTCCAACAGTTCGTAGGTTTAGATATTTTACCAGCAAAGCCAATAAAGCCAACTGATTTACCAAAATATCTTTTACGACTTCTCTTTCTCTTTGGTTTGTATTCTTGACCATAATTTGATTTATTTAATTTCCTTTTATCATCATAAAAATTACTTTGAGATTCATATGAAATAGAGTACTCCTTTTCATTCTTTGTATTTTTATTCCTGTAATTTTTATAATCACAAATGTAATTACTTGTATAAGATGATTCTCTGTAACTTCTAGAATCATATTTTTCAGAATTGTTGAATCTTTTTGGATGAGAACTTTTGTTACTTTTTGATCGTTTCATTGTATTCTTTGAGTGCCAACATTCATTTTTAATAGCAGATATATTTATAACATATGACTTCTTTTGAGGAGATACATTTTCTGGTAATAAATGAGATAAAGGTGATTCTAAGATAAGTTCAGTTTTTCCTGCTATATTGGGAATATCAATACCTTCCCATAAACAAGATTTAACATTACAAGAATTATTGTCTTTGGATTCTATAACTTCAGAAATTACTTCAAAACTATCAACTTCAAGAGTTTTCTCATTAGTATTCACTTCTGAAGAATTCTTGCTTTGTCCATCCATTTCTTCATCTGTGTTAGGCATTTTATGTTGAAAATTTACATTTTCATTTGTTCTTTTTGAAGTTTGCAACCTTAAAAATACATGAAGTTTAAAAACAATATAAAAATAATTAGTATTGATTTTAAAAAATATACATCCTAGTTTAAAATTTAAAATAAAAAATCTTAATTATATTTAATAGGTTAAGAGCATACTGTAAATTTTTATATAAATTCCAAAGAAGCATCACAATATGTAAAGATCATAACATAAAATCAAGATATATTATATAGTAATACACCGAGTTACATAAGTAACACAGACTGCAGACTTTTAAGAATTTGTAAATTGCTTAAGTGTAACTACATAATTAATAACTCAATACTGTAAGGTCTCTTTTTATGCGGATTATTTTTATGCGATTTTGAAGTTGTGCGGTTTGTATTTTATCCAAAAATTTCTTGGACAAACATACATATAGGCTTGTTTAGGAAGCCCGCGTGTAGACAATCTCCAAAAATCATGGAACGCTCAAAGCTCACTCCATTTGTTCCACTGACATATAACATTTATGGATGTAAAGGACAGCTACATCTACCTTAATCGCTTTAGTTCTTAGCAATTTTTTATATAAATGTAATTAATTAAACATTAAAAATACTTAAAACTGAAAAAAACGAAAGAAATGTGTTAATTTTGAAGAAAAAGCTTCAAAGTTTAAATTCGTTTGTCTCGCCCTTCTGTGAAATTTAACACTGACGAGTCATTGTTTACACATCTGGATGACCTTGAACACAGCTGGAGTTGGATTTCCCGGGGCATTCTCAGACATTGCGGGAGGACAAGGGTTTAAAGTAGGGTGAACACTAGCTGGCCGTATATTTTTTATACTAGCTGGCCGTATTCCTTTCAAATAAAATAAACTGAATTAAGTTTGAATACAAGTTTATTTTAAGCTTTTATATGAATTTCTTTCAGACATTCGAAGTAATTTATTAAGCAGCCTATTTCTTTTAATTTCTGCAAACTTTTTTATGCGGTTTTAAATTAAATTAAGTTAATTTTAACTCGTTGTTTTGGTTTTATGTGATTTTAGAAAATTACGGAATGTATTCCTACTTTTTGAATGCAAGTAAAGTCTTTTTATGCAAATTTTTTATATGCGCTTTTCTGTAGAACGTATCCACAGCATAAAACGAGACCTTATAGTACTGTATTTAATTATTATATGTGTACTGTATATATTTTATTATTTTTTTGTATAAAAGAATTGTTTACAAGAAAGAGTGCCCAGTATACTTGCATATGTGCTTACAATTAGACCAAAAAGTAACGGATTAGCCGAGAAATCAAGTAATAAATTGGTACAGTAGAAGAGAAAGGAAGAGAAAGAGAGAGAATGAATGTTTAAAATAGAATAATTCTTTGTAAAATTACATGTTACTCTACTTGGATTTTTACCAATTTTTGTGATTTACATTTTACATAACTGCGAATTTACATAAGTCACATGTTATGTAACTTGAGGTATTACTGTATTTTATATGAATTCAAGCAATAATCTTTAATGTTAAAGAGTATTATATTGTTAATATTTATCTAACAAAATTTTTAACTGCATTTTTCATTTAATTCAATACTAACACAAACAAAATTTTACATTGCTAAAATGTTAAATTTGTCATTCAATCAATATTTAAATTACATTTATTTTAATGTAATGTTATATCAGTAATTTATATTAATAATTTTTTAATTTTAATAAACCATTTTAAATTATATTGCTTATTAAAAAATACTTCCATTAAAATCTTCAAATATATACTGTGTAACAGATTTACACATGATTATATATCCATAATATACTCTTCCTACTATTATAATGTCAAAATAAACATTTAATTCATTAATATAAAAAAAATCCATAACTCCATTACAAAAATAATGAAATAGATTAAATTAAAAATATAAAATACTTGTTACTAACGTATGCCCGAATCACCATTTATTGCATATTAATCAATGTTTTATATAATAAAAACAAGATTCAAACTTAAAAATATCATCTTTTTTGTTGTTAAACAATATAAACATCAATTGGAGCCCAACTTTGTGACATATTATAATCCTATATGACAAAAATAGGGGGTCTGCAAACCTATTAAATTACCACTGACAACGAACATGTTTTTGCCCCTAATCTTTTTAATTTCTTTCTTAATTCAGCAACTGTCATATTCTTTAAATCCAGATTTTTATAAGCAGATCAAAACTTTCACTTAGTTTCCACTATTTTACACACTACCAGAATTTAAGTATACATCAAGCTGACACTAGCACTACAAGTGATGAGATCTAAACCATGCACACCCCATTCAAACTTTCCCCTGAAAGATGTTAAATAGATGACTGGCATGACTATTATTAAAGGAAAAGTATGATGTACAGAGGCAAGACACTACAGTACTAATTTGAGGTGGAGAGCATATATTTTAAATTAAAAATAGCCACCTGGCATTGTGACAATGTCACAATAAATAATTCCTCATACTATTGAAGTATATTATTATGTTTAAAGAACTAACATTAAAAACTAATTAGTGAGAAATTAGCAAAACACGAGAAGTTGGAAATAGTGACATCACTATGTGATATGGCACTATACATATGCATTGTGGATTTTTTAAAGCATTTTGTATTGTATTCATGGTTACTTAGGCCTAGCTATATTAGTATAAGTTTTATTTATATCTACATATATAAAAAAAGAAAAATATGTATGTTTGTATGTTAGGTAAAAGTTTCTATACAGTTCAGTGTATCTGCAGTAAATTTGGCATGAATATTTTTTGACATTCTAGAAAAAATACTAGGGTCCAAGTAATTTTTTGTTTTTTGCAATTTCATTATTGTAAATGCTCAGGTTGATAAGTGTACATTTTAGTTTAATAAGACCATTGTTTTTATCTCCATCTCCCATCCCAAGCTTACTAATTCCCCAACCCACACCATCAATAACTAAATGATTGACACTTGGAAATAAACAATATTCAAAATGTAGAAACTTAGTAAAAAATTTACATATTTATTCAAATGTACTAATACTTTTTCTCTAGTACATTCATTTTTCCACATATGATTATATATAAGTCATAGATGGGAGACCAAATCTAATAGATAATAAGAACTTTTATTATATTAATGCTATTGGGTTATATTCATTCTTTCTTGTAATGAGTATTTTTAGTATTGTAAAGTATTAAACTTATTATTATATATGTATTATAATAAATTTTGATATATTAACTATTATCAAATATATATTAAAACAAGTCTTTAAGTAGTTACATTAAAAAATTACCTTTTCCTATGTCTTACAACAATATAGCCAAGTCTACTTAAATAAGAATAAACTTGAAATTTTTCTAAGGCCTCAGGTTCTTCTAAAACAAGTGAATAAGCTTCTTGAATACTTTGAGGCATTTCATTATATAATAGTTCTAGATAACACTAGAAAAAAAAAATTAATAATGGATTTTATATTGTAGGCCATTGATTAAAAAATACACAAAGATTTATCCATCCTCTATATAAATAATATATATAATTTAAATTACTTCATTAAAGGAATATTTTATTATACATAAGCTAAATAAACTATATTTTTTAATTTTTGACTCTTTCTATTCTGTGAGCACTAAGAAATTATTTTTTCATGTCATAGCTGGATAATGAGGGAGGGCCATAACAGACTGCCCATAAAAAAACTCTTGGAGTTGCTTGCCCAGATTTGATTCCTGATATCTAAGTATAAGGCTGATGCAGGGAATGCTCTGGAAAATTTTAAAATATTGCCACAATTTTGCCAGTTTTAATTTTTTTTTGTCACTTCATATTGTTTATTGCCACCAATTTTATTTACTAATTAATGCAGGTGCTAGTAGCCCTATCAGTTTGGCATCTGGTAACATGTTAAAACTACAGAGGCTTGTTTTCACTAAATAGGAAATGATGTCACAATTTTTAATCTGTTGTTTTATAAGCTTTAAGCATGAGGAATAATAATAGTAATAATAATGCTAATGATGCAGTAAAATAAAGTTATACATTAAAAGAAACTAAACTAAAACTCCAAAGGTTCAAACCTATATTGTCTAGGTCCAGTACCTAGGATCTTATTCACTCGGTTATTGTCAATCTGGGACATGCAACTTCCAAAGACTTATAATCTAAACACTAAATTTTTCAAAGCAATTGAGAAGTGGGTCCTATTATTTGGACAAGGAGCTGTTTGTGCTTAAGGCTACATGCTCACCAAGTTTTGTTCAAATTGGAGACCTGAATATCTGGCCATCCTTTTGTTGTCAATAGCAATCAGTTTTGAATAATTTTTTAATGATTAATTCCAATATCACATTCGATCACAATGTTTAAACAGTATGCTGTGGCTGTCTGGGAAAGCGGTGTCTTTCTCAGTCACAATTACCGCCGTCTTCAATCTGCTCAGCGTAGGGCCCTTCTCAGGCTCACAAGAGCATATTCTACTGCCTCAAATTATTCTCTTCAGGTTATCAGTAGGAAGGCACCTCTGGATCTTCACTTGAGGCACATTGCTTGTACTTATCATATTAGGAAAGGCCATGACATCATTATGAACTCTATCTCCTATGCTGAAGGCACCTATGAGACAGATATACCATTTACCAACCTTCCTCATCCAGTGGTGAGAAGTGGGTTTGACACATCCTTTACAGTTGCTGCTGATTATATAATCTTCACAGATGGATCAAAGAATGCAGAGGGCACGGGCTTGGCCTTCGTCGTTTTTGCCAATGAGGAGCAAATATATCAGAATTCTGGCACTCTTCATCCTAACTGCTCTATATTCCAGGCAGAACTCTGTGCCATTTACATGGCTGTTCAATGGTGTGAAGCCAATCTTACTGGAAGTAGAGTTACAATTTGCTCTGATAGTGCTTCAGCAATCAACGCACTTAGGAATCTCAACAACCTACACCCTCTGGTTAGGAAGATTCTAAACTATATACCTTGTGCTCAGAACTCCTATTCCCTCGAATGGGTGAGAGGTCATCAGGGTGTCCTAGGTAATGAACGTGCAGATCTACTTGCCAGGGAGGCTGCAACGATCGGTACCTCTGGCCCTTTCAATTATTCAGTGCTACCTGCTTCTTTTCTTAAGCTCCAGCATTGGAACTACAGCTTGGATCTCTGGCAGCAGAGATGGGATAGTTACAATGGCCTTGCCAGGAACTTTTTTCCATCTATTCATGACCACCTTTCTAACCACTGGGTTAGTCCGGACTATGAAACCACGCAATTCTTCACTGGGCATGGGAGATTCCGGGCCTACTTACAGAGGTTCGGCAAATCTACAACGGACATCTGTACCATCTGTAATTGCCGTGATGGGGTTGAGCACTATGTATACATGTGTCCAATGACCGAGGATGCTAGGCATGAGCTTGCCCTTGCTCTTAGCCACAGGGGAATTAACTGGCCATGTGAACTTCATGTCCTTCTTAAGGATAGTGACACCTACAAAGCATTCAAAAAATTGATTCATAAGTATCACATACGCTCTGTCATTCACTAAGTTAGTCAAGTCTGTCATCATGCATTATTTTCATTTGCTTCCTGCACATTATTGTATATACATATCATTATTGTTCTGCTGCATCATATATCTGTGTAATATTTATTATTACTATTAGTATTGTCTATTTTAATTTACCATACATGTTATTCTACTCTCAAGTTTTGTATAATATCGGTTGATTTGTATTGGTCATCTTACCATCTGTTCATACTTTTCAATTGTCATACTGTTTGTACGTTATCTGTCTGTTATTATGTATGTATTTACCTGTGCTTTGACATATTTCTGTATTTAACCCGATTATGCTCTTGCGGTATCGGGAATAAATAAAGATAAAGTATTTCACAGGTTCTGTCATGTCAAAAATTTTTTGTCTACTGAAAAAAGATCATTCAAAAAAATTCTCCAAAATTTCTGTCAGTCAATAAAAAAATCCCCACTCTGAAAACACTGGGCAGCATTGCACAAAACTTCCTTCAGTTCTCAACATCACTTTTCTGCCCAAACTTGCCAGGTGACATCATGCAATTGCTAGGTGTGTGGTGCATGTACTCCCATTGTACAGAAGCACAACATTTTGTTGTTTTTCCTAAAGTGTGACTTGTGATCCAATTTCACAATGAATGTCGCAAGCAGACTGAGGTTTTTATCATCACTTACTATCACCTATATTATATTTTTATTGCCACTTTAATAAAAATATCACCAAGTGGCAATTTTGGCACTATACATCGCAACCCCTGCTGATGCCTTAACTGCCTCAGCCATCGGGCCTGCAAACAAAATGTATTACAGTAGAGTGTCATTTATCCAAATCAATTGGGGACTGGGGTTGTTCGGATAACTAGTTATGTACGAAAAAATATATTAACCTATCCCATGTTGAAATTTTTCTCTGTTGCATGTCTCTTCATGTTGAATTTTCATCGATGTTAAGCCTAATGTAAACTTTTTAAAATAACAATTGTGGCTATTGTATCGTTAAATTATTTCTTTATTTTGTACAAACAAAATACAGGCATACCTTGACTTACGTCGGTTTCGAGTTACGTCGTTCCCGATTATACGTCGCTTGTTAAAAAAGTATATGGAAAAATAAAAATCAAGTTTAAGTCATTTTATTCGACTTTACGTCTGTCCGCCACAAATATTGAAGTCGTAATATCACTAGATAAACGTTTAAAGCACATAAAATCATATTAAAATATATACAAGTATGTACTGTATTTACAGTACACGCATTCGTAAATTTAGATTACTTTTTTTGTACTATATTAAAAACTAAAATTTATTTGTTTGTAAGCTTAAAATAGATTTTTATTAACCATATATTATTTAAAATGCTTTCCTAGTGATAAGTAGATTCGGAGACAGGTAAATTCGACTTACGTCGTTTTCCTGGAACCAATTACCGACATAAGGCGAGGTATACCTGTAAATATATTGAAAAATATAAAACAAAAAAATTACATTTTGGAAGTTAATCTAGTATCAAAAACATTCGATTCAGCATGACAGTCCAACTGGAACGCTTTCTGTTAACCAACGTTTCAGTTGATTGGCTTTCGGATAAACAACGCTCTACTGTATTAATGTATGATGTAAAAAAAAAATTATGTATGATTGTACAGTAGAGCCTCGATTATCCGACCCAATTGGGGACTGGGGTTGGTCGGATAATTGAAAAGTCGGATAACCGAAAAGTATGAAAAAATCCATTACAGTAGAGCCTCGATTATCCGACCCAATTGGGGACTGGGGTTGGTCGGATAATTAAAAAGTCGGATAACCGAAAAGTATGAAAAAATCCATTATTAGTGTAGTATATTATTATATCCCATTATCCTACTTTACGTTGAATTTTCATCGATGTTAAGACTAACAAAAATTTTTTAAAATAATAATCGTCGCTATTGTATCGTTAAAAATTAGAAAATTAAGCCTCGTTTAAATACTGGCTCCCTTTCATGGTCGAATGAGTGTTGCCAGCTAAAACACAAAAATAATATTAAAGTAGCCAAGACATAGCCAAATATTGTAGTGCCACATCACTAGCGGACATTTGAAATTTGCCGACTAGGACGGTCGGTTAACTAATGTCGGTTAAATGATAGGACGGTCGGTTAAATAATGAATCGAGGTGTTGGTTAATCGGAGGTCAGATAATCGAGGCTCTACTGTATTAACAGTATACTGTGTAAATTAATAAAGTTATTTTATTAGAAGTGTAGTTTGTCACGAAAAATAAAATTAAAAAATTGTCATCTTGAGGAACTGTTAAGAGGTTCAATAATCAATGAATGAAACATATTAACTGAATAAAGTGGATAAACGCCAAGTGTTTTAATAATAACACAGTCTTGTGTTCAATAGTAAATAAATATGAAAACACGGTTTCAAAAAACGGATGAAACATATTAGCTGTCATGAACCGATATGTGTTAATTTATCTTGAGAAAAAGAAACATTCATAATCTAAAAAATAGTTTTCTGGTTATTTAAACCAGAATCAAAAAGTAACTTAAAATCTATAAAATAAAACATAAAATTAATTTAAAATATAGAATAAACATGACTGTTTTTGACATTAAAATAATTATATTTTGAAAATTTGAAATTCAAAAATAAAGTATGCACACAAAGTATATATATTCAAATATTCTTATATTTTTAAAATTACATCTTTAGAAACAAGTTTCTAATTTTTGTAAAGAAATTAAATATCTAAAAGTTAAGTGCTTTACAAAATATCTTATTTAAATACAGAAAAATAATAATTTCTCTCTCAATATTATTCCATATTAATTACAGCATGCTTTATTAATAATTTGGGAATTATGAAGATATGCTTAATAGAAAAAAAGCACAACTTTTTATATAATACAGCAAAATTATGTTTTTCTGATTTATAAATCTAAATTTGTATTTTTATGTTTGTAAAAATATTTTATCTTTTAATATGGTAAACTACATTAAAGATGACAAAATAAGAAAAATTAATATAAAATGTACTGTAACTACATGAAAAATTAATTTTACATGTTTTTATTAATTGTTACTTGAATTTGCTTAATGTGAATTTAACTATATTTTAATAATTTCTTACTTTTATATCTGCTATGTATTTATGCTAAATTTGTAAAATTTATACTCAAATAGCAGTATTTTACTAATAAAAAGTTTATGCCTTTTATCTTTCATATTTCATAAAACGTTTTTAAAAATTTGCATAAGAAATAACTTGTTTTTGAATTACAAAAATTTTTCCTTCCTCTTTCTATAAGAAAAAGAAAAAAACTGTTTAATTTAAAAAAGATTATTAATAAGTTTTAAAAACATTAATTACTTAACAACCAAATGTTTTAACTAACGGACTTACTGTCTCCATTAAATACAGAATTTCTTCAGGATATAATGCTATTTTATTGTCAATTCTTTCTCCAACATGGTGCATAAATTTTCCCTAAACATATTTTATAAATAATAAGGTAAAATAATTAAATTGTAATATTCTTATCAAATTAATTATAATATAAAATTACATCTATAAATAACTTAAAAATTATGAAATAATATCTAATTAAAAAATGCTAAAAAATAAATAAACTTCATAAATTTAGTAAAATAAAACATTTTGAGAACTAAGATAGAATAATAGCTCTAGCAGTAAACTGTTTAACATTGTTTTAGAATTTGATATTTTTTATTAAGATGCATAGTAAAACAAAAAGCAAAATTTATATATGAAAATAAAGTTTGTTTTATACTTGTCATGAAAAAAATTTTTAATTAATGTTTGTTTACATTATGAAAAAATAATAATTTAATCATGGGCTGTTCACCCAGTACTCGACTAGTGAAGTTGCACAAACATTTATGGTGGTTGACAACTGGGTTTTCCATCAAGAACGTCACAAATGTGGCAACTGTGAAAGGATAATGAAGCTCAATAATGAGCATTTTGTAGAAAATACACACAATAAACACAGAGCCCTTGTTATCTTCTAAAGATCTGAGTTTGATTCATTGGTCGATTACAAGAAGCAGTATTGAATAATATTTCACATCACCATGGGTGAGGCAACTTGTTATTCTTACATGTTATTGAGAATAGGGTCACTTATAATACTTCTTGTGAAGATGGCTTGTCTAAACCTGTTCTAAATAGACACAGATTTCGATTTACATGGTCAACTACTGAAAACAGTTGGCAATAGAGCCCTAATCCTAATTCATCATACTTTTTTCAAAATATTTTACTTAATAATGTTAACTGAAAGAAATTCTGATCTTTATGTTTATGTAATAGTAAGAACTAGAATTAGCATCAAAAGAGACTACAAAATCTTTCAACTCCAGAAACCAAAAATTTAATCACACTAACACTTTCAATAGCCATCCTCAGGCTAATTCTAATTTGAATAGTAATTATTAATTAAAAAAATTGGGAGAAAAATTATTTTAATGTTTTTATGATTAAGTGTTAAATGATATAAATTCAACAGGTGCTCATTTATAAACAGAAAAATGAAAAATTAAATAAAATCATTTAATTCAAAACTAAAAAAATTACATTAATTATTTTGTTATAATACATTTCATGTTATTTATATCATGTAAGTCAAAGATGTTATAAATAAAATTTATATTATTATTTTGAATAAATTTCTATTATTTTAAAATTACAGAAGTATTACCTTTGCTTTTAATATGAAAGCTTTTTTTCTAGTAGGATCCCAGTGTGCACATTGAAGATCACCACTAGAAAATACAATAATGTTAATAAAACAAATATATATATATATGCAGTGGTACCATGTACTTCAAATACTAAATTCAACAAAAGTTTGGTTTGGGGTTCAAACAATGCTTCAAAGTTCGAACAACATGCACTGTAAAAAAATGTACTCAAAGTGTAAATACAATCTGTGTGCATGAAGTCATCTCTTGCTTTTGCATTACACTCATATGTTTTCAGTGCTTTTTGCACTTTATTTTTGTGTGTTTAATTATATATGTTGTGTATTATTTGCTGATTTTTAACAATTTCTTCCTGCAATTTTTCTTCCTTGACAGTTTTTTGGCATCCTATGTATTTTGTACCCTTTGGTTCAATATTTTTAAATCACATTTGACTTATTCAAAGTTTAGGAGTATCTTCCCCATACACATTACAAATTTCTTTTTACTTTTTGTTCCTTTACAAAATTCATAAAGTTTAATATGCCTAATATGCTTTTTATCCAAAGACTATTTCAACTTGATTTTATTTAAATGAAATATGAAGTAAAAAGTTTAAAATAAGTTTTTAAAGAAAGAATACAATCTCACATTAGCAATAATGTGTTAAATGTCATAACATTTATAATTAAATCACATTTTTTAAAAAGCTAAAGTTTTTTGGCTTTTCTTCAGTAACTTATCACACAAGGAACTCTTATTGATGTAGGCTTTATTAATGGAAATGCAGCTTTTTAAAAAATTCACAGAGACCAGTAACAGAACAATTAATTATAAATCACACATTTATATTAAGTAATGACAGCTGTTAAAAATATGCAAAACTTTCTGTTTGGCCCAACATTTCCTTTACTTATTAACTATGTTCAGCATCCAAAAAGTGTGTAATATCAGGAAGGTTGTAATATAAATGATTGAGATGGAAAAGGAACTTATTGCAAAGCATAAAAGCAGTACATGTGGGACAGATCTGGCAGCAATGTTTAAGATATCATAGTTGATGGTGTGTGACAAATAGATGAAATTTTCATTTTATTACATAATAATTATGCATTTTATTTATTGTTTTCATGTTTTAATTTATTATTTAGGGGATTTAATTGTGTTATTTTTACCTTAAATTTTATGTATATTTGCTGTTTAAGTTTATTGTTTAGGGCCTAGAAACAAATTAATTCATTTTCCATTATTTCAAATGAGAAAATTTGATTTGGACTTCAGAGTTTGAACAGCCTCCTGGAACGAATTAAATTTGAAGTACGAGGCACCACTGTATAATACATAGTTACTATAAAAGTACCTGGAATTAAATAATAATCTTAAAATTATAAATAAGATTTGATAAGAATGTTCAAAATATTTTGTACTGTAAAAAGTCATAATTGTTAACATAAATAACTTTAGTAAATTCATAATCATCAAATTAAAATTTAGTCTTTTGTCAACTAAAACTTAATTTATGAAACATATAATATATATTGTAATGTTAACTAATCTGTAGTGCCTTATCTCAACATAAAAACAAACTTTTAAATTTAAATTAAAATCTTATGGAGACTTTTACAATGTGAAGTCTTCTCATATGAGTACCATTCAGTTCAGACTTAATATTTTTATATTTTATAATTTATTATTACATTAAAAAATATTTGTTTGTAAATAATATGTTTCTGGCACAACTAAGTTATTTATTTAACTACAGGTATACCTCGCCTTACGTCAGTAATTGGTTCCAGGAGAACGACGTAAGTTGAATTTACTTGTCTCCGAATCTACTTATCACTAGGCTAAACAGTAAATTACCATTCCCGGTTCTGTATTTTATTTATTAATACATTTTTAATAATATATGGTTAATAAAAATCTATTTTAAGCTGACAAACAAATAAATTTTAGTTTTTAATATAGTACAAAAAAAAGTAATCTAAATTTACGAATGCATGTACTGTAAATACAATACATACTTGTATATATTTTAATATGATTTTATGTGCTTTAAACGTTTTTCTAGTGATATTGCGACTTCAATATTTGTGGTGGACAGACGTAAAGTCGAATAAAATGACTTAAACTTGATTTTTATTTTTCCATATACTTTTTTAACAAGCGACGTATAATCGGAAACGACGTAAGTCGAGGTATGCCTGTATATTGTTATTGACTTTTGGATTATTAAGAATTAAGATAGAGTTGCGGAATTTATTTATGGACAAATATTTTAATTACATTAATCCAATACAGTAAAACCTCATTAAGAAGTTTTTGAAGGGACAATTGTAAAAAGAAACATCTTAGACAGGAAAAGTTCTTATGCAGGAATTGTAAAAGAATAAGTTTTCATTTGTATATTCAATTTTATTTCAAGATCAACATAATAAAACATAGCATAGTGTAACATAGTGGAATAGGAAGCTGCACTGGCTGTAGCAAGTGTTTAAGTGTCTAGTGTCAATATGGCATTTCAACAGGAAATATACAGCACTGAATAGAGAATACAGTCAAAACTATAAGACCCGAGCAAAATCAGTAACCACCTCAAGATGTGAAGGGGCCGTATTCTGGTCATCGTCTCTCGTCTCTCACAAGCCGATCGCTGATTGGTTAATCATTTGTTTACGTCTTGAGAGATCATTGTGTCTCTCTAAATGCGATTCTGGACAACTTTTTCTCTCTTCAATTCTCTTGTTTATCAGAGACGAGTAGATAGTTGTCTTTTGGCCGTTCTTTCGTCTTTCTCCTCGATTTCATTATATCCAATATGGATGATTGGATGCTACTCACGCTGCACAATCGTATTAGAGAACGTTCTCTATCTCGGGAAAGAATATTTTGAGAGAGAAAATCCTGATTTTTTTTTCAGTGCCTACTCGGAAACATCACTGATTCCTTTTTTTTTTTTTTAATTATCCTATATCAATTACTGAACTGTCGAATATGATGTTAATCTTACTTAGATAGTTAAGAAGAAATTAGATCGCAATATTTCGAAAAATATCTAAGAACTCACGCTTTTCTAACTTAGGTTATTAAAATTTTAATTTGTTAAAAGAGACAAATTGACATTACAATCTAAAAACGTTATAAAACATTTAAAAAAAATAATTACTTCGTCAAAAAATTACGTGCATTATTTGAACACGTGCTTTACTTGCCACGTGATCTATGATTACATACTCCGCACTTTCGAAAATTTTACAATTTCATTGGTTAAAATTCTATACCGTGTTGCGCGCGCAGATAACCCGAACATGTATAATCAACCGAATAGAATCGTGACGTCAACAACAAAGACGAGATCGTTACGAACGACCAGAATCGCCACTGTGTATGAGAGACGAATTTCGTCTCTCGCTTTGACGTCATTCGTCGGTGAAAGAAGAGACGAGAGATAAGTGACCAGAATACGGCCCCAGGTGTTTGATATATGATATTGTAAATATCTGGAGTTACTTTATTAAATCTTTACCATTTTTATAAGTGATAAAAGTTATGGCAAGGAAAAAAATTATAATTTGTCTCCAATGGAAACTTTTTTAAGTGAATAAAATATCATTGATGGAACTAATATTTTGGAATTTCTTACATGGGTAAACTTGTTACACAGAAATTTGTTATGCAAAAAATTTTAGCACACATCTTATGATGTAAATGCTGAAACTGTAAAAGTTGGACTTCTTTTGCAGGAAAACCTCTCATGCAGGAACTTCTTAAATGGATTCTAACTTCTTGTTGCTTCTAATTCTATGTCACGACTTGGTGCATTCTAACTTACTGTATAAAACTAATATCTTTAATTTAACATCTGTTTAAAAATCCCCATGGTTTGTTTCTTTATATCTTTACAGATAATACAGAAGTTTGTTTCTTTATGTTAAAGAATTATCTGTAGTTTGAAATATAAATTAGAGATAAAAATTTTTTACTTAAATTTACACTCAATATATCTTAATATTAGTTAATTATAATATAAAAGAAACATTTTTTGAAATAGTTTAGCATAATTTTAAAATATCTTGATGTATAATAGAAGCATCAAAAATTAATATTACATAAAAAATACCAAGTATTTGTAACTTACCATTGAAACAATACACTGCTGAAAAAAGGATCTTGAGAGCTCAATTTAATTAAATTTTTGATATGAATAATGATATTTCTCCAAAAAAAAAATTTGATTTTACATGAATTCTTTGGGATTTAATACTATTTGTGTTTATGTTATATATTACTTTTTGTACAACACATATACTTTTTCTACTATAAAATAAGTGAATGAATGAATAAAAATTGCACAGGCTAAAAAACAAATACCAGCACTTTTATTTTTTGGGAGTAAAATGTAAATCATTATTATTAGAATGTTCAAGGCATGGTATTCATATATTGAAGATGCATCTTGATTCTTGACAAGTATTTGTGAATCAATTTTTGTCAGTTTAATCATATCATTTATTTGCTATAAAAATATTAATTAAATAGTCTTGCTATTTTGTTTTCATTGAAAACATCATAGTTTTTTCAAACATATTTTAGTAACTACTTTAATTTCAAATGATAAATTGATTTATTTTTAAACACATAAACAAATATTGCACTGACTTTTAGCACATTTCCAGTAATTCATTATGATAAGAAGCAAACATTTTTGGCCTCTTTCAGTAGCCAGAGTCAGGCTTTCAATGACAAGTTTTTAGCTGAACTTTTTAGAACACTTCTTTTAAAAGGAAAGGAAATTTGTTACAGAACAAATTTCTATTTAAATTAATGAAAAATCCATTTTATCAATTATGTCATCAATGAACATCATTAATGCCTAAATACAACTACTTTCACACCTCATTGTAAATTATTGCAGAAAAATTATACATTACAACTCCAACATAATAAATATTGTGGAACTTATAAATGTTGTCATATGTACGGTACAAGCCTTTATATATTTCACATACCTCGAGTGTTCTCAGCTTATTTGGGTTTAGAATATTTTTAATCAATCATTAATGTAAGTAGAAATTTGTTCTAGACAATTTTCCTTTCCTTTTAAAAAAGTGCTCTAAAAAGTCTGGCTAAAAACTTGTTGAAAGCCTGATGCTGGCCACAGAAAGAGGCTGAAAATGTTTGTTTGTTTATTATTATAACAAATTGCTGGAAATGTGCTAAAGGTCAGTGCAATATTTATTTATGTGTTTAAAAAAGTTTCAGTTGTAGAAAATATATTTTATGATTATTTTTGTATTTAAAATAATTTGATAAATTTTCCTCCTCAAAACATTCTCTTCTGAAAAATTTTAACAACTATAATTCAAACTATTGATTGTTGATGATTTATTTTTATACACCCACTTCCTTTGATTGTTTTTTATATAATTCAAACTTCAATAAACAACAAATCATTCTGCTTTATTAGATCATTCTATACAAAATTTATAAACTCTAGTATTTTTGAGCTTAATTCTCATTTTCAAGTATATATTCTTTTTGTTGTCAAAAAGTGGAAATCCCAAACATGAATGATGAACTGAAAGTTCTAAGAATTATGATTTTTATAAAAGATATGCCATTAAAGCAGAATAAATTATCATTTTCCTCTCAGATATGGATTAAAATGAAAAATAAATATTTTAATTTAATAATTTAATATAGTTATCTAATAAGAGATAAAAATAAAAAATATTTAATCCATATTTGATTAAATATGAAGTATTATGTACTTGATACTATTTTTTTAAATATAAAAATTAATAAATGTATATAAAATACACTCATAAATCATACCTTCTAATAACACGTTGTTCCATTAAACTTTCAACTTTTTCATCTATTACAGATTCAATACGTTTTTTCTCTTTAGAGCTTTGCGTTGGTATATATCCCTTCTGTCCATAACTTTGAGTACCTTTCAAATTACTTTTTCTAGATTTAACAAGCTCCTGAGCACTAAAATAAAGACAGATAATAAATAAATATCTTAAAAAGTTTTTATATTAGTATTAAAGAATAAATATTATATAATAAATAAATATTAGTATTTTGTATTAAGTATTAAATAAAACTTAAATTTTTAAAAAATTTTCATATAAATCCAACATTTAAATATTTACAGTCAAACCTTGGTTTTTGAATAACTCACTTTTCAAACAAACTGGTTCATGAGCAGAATTTTAAACTCATATTTGTCTCAATTGCTGCAGTCACCAAACAAGCTACTCACTATGAACCGACCAAAGATTAGAGAGAGACAGATGATCAATTCCCTATACTTCCTGTGTTAAAGAAAGTTGACAGCCCAACTAATCAGCAACAGGACTACTGATTCAGAAGTTAGTAGTGCTGAGATTACCTGTATCATTAGATGTCACAAGACAAATTATCAGTAACATTGCTATTTAAATTAGATCTCAATGCACAGGCAGTAAAGATACTACTTTTGTTTTTCGGTATGCACTGTAGTTGAATTTAAATTAAATTAATAAAACCACATTAATTAACATTCACATAATATAAATGGCATCCAAATATTCATCTTTAAAGGTGCTTAAATTAAGTCAAATTAAATAATAAAAATTTATTATATATAATACAGCAGGAGTTCCCAAATTGCATTCTGTGGAACCCTTGAGTTCCACCAATAAATTTCATTGAATCTAGTGATGTATGTATGTGACAATGCAGATTTGGGATGTGAGGTGTAATTGTTATAGTTCAGATCCAGTCCTCTTATATATCCTATACATGTGCTAGAGTTATTTTTAGCTTTATGAACAGTGTGGACTGATTTATCAGTAACAGAACAAACCAAAATCATGATATAATATTTGACAAGATAATGAAAACCATAAAAACAGTAAAACCTAAACTAAGGCTAGAAAATCATTAAAAAATAACCTTAAAAGTATCCAACATATAAATAATAATAAAATCGTTAAATATGCTTTAATTTGTCAATATCTGCAGCGCAAGTCTATCTAATGACAGGAGCGGCCAGTCAGTTACACGATGGTATTGTACATACTACGATACTAGTGACCGGACACTCGTCAGACTAGCATCACATATTGCCAAGGGGTTATATACAATATTAAATTGCATTTATAGGCATTTAGAATGAAATATGGCTAAAAACATAAAAAAAGGCTTTATTTTGGGTGTCAGGAATGGATTAACCCATCTTATATTGTTTCTTAAGGAAAAATTTGTTTCAGTTTCAGAACAATTTTTAGAAAAAAATTATGTTCGAAAACAGAGGTTTGATTGTATTATTAAATACAATAATATTTATCTAAAATGGACCCTCTATAAAATGGAAATATGCCTAAACAAAAACTAAATCCTGAAATAGAATAATTTGATTTAAAATACTATTAAAAGTCTGAAACCTGCTTAAAGCAGAAGCCAAAAATATTTTTGAGTACCAATTTCATAGCATAACCTCAAGGTGGCATAATTTTTCATCTTTGTATTGTGAATCCAGAACCTGCCTCAAACCACTAAAAAATTGGTCCACTTGCCACACTTTATATACATGCCAATAAATCACCAATCCTTGATCTAAGATATTATCAATGTAATTGGCAATCATCATATCGATCTTTCAATAATATGCAAATTGTCAACTTCACTTTTGATATGAATTTAATTATTATTAAAATATCTTTGATTATTCAGTGTTATTAATCATCAGTAAACTTATGTTCACTTTACATTTACCAAACCAAACCAGACCACAAACCTGGCCACAAACCAGACCACAAACCTTTTTTATTATAAAATGGCAAAAAGCTTAATTTTGAGAGTAGGTCATTAGCATTTATAATTTTTTTTTATAATTCATCATAGGGATGAGTTTTATAAAAAATTATAAATGCTAATGAGTAAAATAGCCATTAAGTCTGACCCTACTTGAGATACAAAACACAACTCCCTTGACCTTTAACAACCAAAATTTAATAGCATCAATTCCCTAACACTCAAACCTCCCTGCAAAATTTCAGAAATTCTCAACAAAAAGTATAGGAGTTATTAAGCTTCAAAGATGGTGAACAACATCATGCCTCATACACACTAACATCATACATACAGAAAAACCCCCAAATTTTTGCATTTTTCAACATTTCAAAGTTCATAGAGTCCAAAAATGTAAAAATCTTGGGTGATCATTTTTTGACCAACTGTTGTACTTTCCTTGTTATATATAACAGAGTAAGGAAAGTAAAAATAATAAATTCATCTAACTTCATCTTTAACACCTTTGTTCATTGTTGGCATCAAAATGGTACAACTTCTGGTTTGGTTTGTTAAGTTATGGCAACACAACATTTAGGTGATCTGCCTAGGGGGATGCCTTCTGGGAGGTCTTTTTAAGGGAAACTGGCCCCTATTTAGGCACTATAGATGTGGAGAAAATCCAGAAAACTCCATGTAGCCAGCCCATCTGAGCGTGGCATGAACCCACAATCAAACTTCGTGTTCAGGGTACAAAGACCACTTGGCCACTGGTGGGCCAGTACAACTTCTGAATGAGATTTTTGGACCTTATCAGAGCTATAGACCATACTCATAGAAACAAAAAAGAACTATACCACTACATGTGACCTTTTATGCGGTACAGCCCCCAAAAGCAGCCTGCACCCAAGTTCGTGATTACATGCTCTGTATCTGTCAAGGCTTGCTATCACTCACTTCAACTGATGTGGAACACAGAGAATAGGCAGTATACTGGTTTATGATAAAAACTGACCTTTGGGGGTAAATATCCTTTTTTTTTTTTTTGTTTTTACATTTATTAATATATGTATTTTGTTTGTGCAAAATAAAAAAATAATTTTTTTACCCATGCAACTCTTTGCATGGGTAAGATTCAAGCTCTAAATGAGGGGTTTTGCACCTCCTGAGAATTCTAGACCCCCTATACGAGCAAAAGGAACCGTAACTTTACATGCAACCCTTTGTGAGATATTCACCTCCAAAGGTTAGTTTTTAACACGTATCCTATTCTCCATGCTTTGTATCGTCAAGGCTTGCTATCGCTCAGCATGACCGACACTCCACATGTAGTCAGGTGCTTTGGTAGAAGTGAACATACATATCTCAGTGTCTGGGTGATATGAGTGTTCACTTATAGTGTGAGATAAGCAGGGGGTCAAAGGTGAATTCCAGTGACCACTTAATCTATACAGATTGTGAGATCCGATCTCAAACATCAATAGATGGCTAACCTATGAGCGGAAATAAGGATTTAGATTGTGAAATCAAGATCCACATCAGGATATTGACACCAACTAAACTATTACTTTGCGGTTTAACTTGCGATTCTTCTATTATTCTGGTTAGGAGGGCTCGTTTGAGTGGGGAGACACATGAGTAAGTGATAGGAGTACGTAAGGAAACTAGAATCAAGTCCCATTAACAAAAAAACTTTAATGAATAAACAAGACTACAAATGAACAAACTGAATAACATCTAGCTATGCTTAAACCTTAAACTAGGTCCCTAAAGATTGAGAGAGAGAGTTTACAAATTATATTATTTTATATTACCTCTTTTCATTTTTTTATTATACTCTTTCCACCCTGCGGACACTAGGAGGGCCTCTTATAGCAGGCCCATCATGGGTTCGGCCAGGCCCACAATGATGCAACTGACTGGTGAGGGACGGGGCCCAACATATCCAAACGGACCAACCCCCTGAAAAATTCCTGGGGATTCCTTGACCCGTCCGGATTCGATCCCAGGTCCCCCAGAATGGTGGGCTGCCACCTTGACCGCTCGGCCATCCAGCCGTCTTATATTACCTCTGTGATAACTTGACTTATGAGATTCATAATCTTGGATGGAAGTTACTTGTATGAGGAACTATGGCACTTAGTTAAACAAAGACATGCCAAGGCGCAGAAGAGCTAAAGTGCCCTGATTTTAGCACGTATCTTTATTTTATACTAATTTTCTCCTCCAATGGAGATCAAGCCTAAGGATCATCTGACAATGATCTAAACACGTAGTCATCGGTTGACTAACTACTTTTGAAGGAAGTAAACTTGTTGGAAAGGAAGTGAACTTCCTTTCTTTCTCTCCTTTTTTCCTGTTGATTTCTGTGGCTAATTTTCTTTCTAATTTATAAAATAATATGATTTCTTTTTATAATTAGTATTAAATTAATAATGATTCATGTGAATTCTCACAATAACATCAAGTATTCTACAAACAGTCTACTCAAAGACAGCATAGCCATGTGGGCTAAATAGCTAAATGTGATAATCTTAGCGGAGTGACATGACTTGCAATCTCACACGACCTGACCTTAGGAGGCTGTAACTCGCAAAGGGTCACTTGAAGAGGTGTTTCCATTAATTTTTTTCGCACAGGAGGTGGCAAATCCCTCGTTCAGAGTTCACATCTTACCATCTAAACACACGCCTTTATTCATTTTCAATAAATAATCACGTGGAGACTAAAACGAATTGAACAACTATCCAATAAAATAATATTAATACAAAGAAATTTCATATAATCAATAATAATAAAAATCATGAAACTTTTAAAACTGTTAATTTACTTTGAAAATTAAATTATTATTTCAGAATTAAATAAAAACTTTTAGAAATGCAAAGTATTCAATCAGATAGTTTACTAAATCATAAATATTTGATCCAATGTAAAAAATATACCTCAATAACGGATAATCTTTTTTTATGTTATTCGAATATAGAACCTTGTTTTCGTCGGCCATATTTCTCAATAAGTGTTGCCAACTGAAAATTGAATAATTTAAAGGAAAAGTTATGAAAAATAATTATCTTTAATACAGTAAATAACTAAATAATAATAATAATAATAATAAACAGTTTCCTTTATTTATAAAAATAATTAGAATATTACAGACTATATTAAAGATTGTGATTCAAATAATTAGAAATCTCTTTAATAACTGTAATGATATGCGGATTAACGCTACTGTATTAAGTTTATAGTGACGTGGTGAGCAATGCGCATAAATCAAAATTATTTGTTATCGCCACTATCCTCTTCCGAAGCCTCATCCTCTTCTCTGTGTCCAGCTCGAGGAACTCGACGCTCTCCGCCCTCGCATCCTCCTTCAACAGCTTAGCAAGCCGAGCCGGACCAAGGACTTTAAACTAGAAGGATAGCCAGATCCCGTATATTTGTTAGCGTGACCTTGGATCTATGTGACGTCACAGCAAGCCCTCTACTTCAACACGACAGATCTTTCAAATAACAAAATACGATAAAATATTAAATCATTTTTTAATTAATTATTAAATTACTACTAAATGTAAACTACTGTAGAATTTTCGGATTTAATAAGTGTACTGTACGTCAATAAATTTACAAGTCTTTTGTCTAATATTTATTTAACAAATTAATGAGCTATATTTTTTATTATGTGATTATCTTACTTAACTTTTTAATTTTTTTTCGACAATCACCATTTTCAGAAGGCATTCTTTTCAATATTTTATAGTTTTCTTGTTTAAGATTTCTATAATTAATTCTTATTATAGTTCTTAATTTACAAAAATCTTTTATTAAAGTAAAAGGTAAAACTGTTTCCACTGACTAATTCTGTACAACTCCGGGGCCTTTTTTATACGATTCATCGTGATATATTTCGAAATATTTATTCCATTCTATAATTTTTGCTAGCCATTCATCAGTAGGTTTAATAAGCCCTCCATAAGATAAATGTTGCACCCATGACGGAATGCTATAGTTGTAATGATTTTTAATTTTGTTAGTGGAATTAATTAAGTTTGGGTATTTTTCTTTATATTTATAGGCAAAATATCCTGCTATATACTCGAGAGCATCGTAGGAAGTTTCTTCAGAGATTGTGTTAAAGTCTAGATTGCATGTAGAGTTTCCTGAAGATTTATTTGAAGAAAAAGTAGTTTTACATTTAGTATATTGGTCTGTATTTTCACTTGATACTTCTACATGTGCTTTCTCTAAAACTTTGGGTATAATATATTCCTCTTGTCTTCGATCTGTAGTATTTACTTTTGACTCTACAATACCAGGATTCTTACCTAAAATAATCAATCTAATCCTATATATAGTATTTAATGGGCTTGGATGTTCATTCTTCTCCATTCATCCATTCATCGGCTTCTAATTTGAAAAAAAAAAGTTTTCCAGACAATCTTGATTTAAATTGTGAGTGCAGATGTATTTTATATCAAAAGTCGATTTTGTATTTTGAAAAAGATCAATTAGCGATTTCATTGAGATTATCATTTCTTTCTGGAAAATTTGGGGGGCATTTTTTCCACTTGCTCTCATTGTTGAGATCAGAGCCGGCCCTACCATAGGGCGAACTGAGCAGCCGCTCCAGGCGCTAAGTCCTAGGGTGCGCCTCAGTGGTAAAGAAAATTAAAGAAAAAAATATTTTTTTTCACTTTTCGATATTTTAATTGCAAGCGTGTGGCCAGTATATGAATGTCCTTATCTGTTGAGACGCGCGTGGGCGGGGTTCCAACCCGCCGAGGTTACAGGCAGGGGTGCCACCTGCGGTGACAACTCTGTTGGCACCGCAGGCACCGCTGTTTTAGTTGGAGAGTCCACTTCGAAGCGCCGGCACGATCCAACCAGAATCTCCATATTAGAAAAAGCCTAACTGAACCAATCTCTAGCCGAGTACAGTGGGACTGATTTCTTCGAAATATTAGATGTAATAAAGACAGACATTTTTCCAGTTCGACGAGAGTGACCGAAAAGTTGTAAATTTTGGGAATTTCCGTGGACAACACCTGGTCCTAAAACGAATTAGTTAGAAAACAAAAGACGGACAATCTATTAAGTTTAACATATTTAGATTTTTACAGCTGTGGTGAGAAACGTTTAAAATTTACAAGAACCCTGTCGCGTCCTTTGAGGTATATGAGTGATACGACAAAAGAGGCATTTGACATTGATCAGTATCAGCACCCTCGGGATTTGGCAGCCCGTGTGCATGTACACACCGCACACCTAGCAGGACCGTGTCTGATTCCACTCTAAGGAGCTATTTGACTAAGTCAGGGCCGTGCCGTGTTATGATGCATCACTGCATCATATGATGCAGTGATACATCATAACACGGCACGGGCGCATCACAGCATCATATGATGCAGTGATGTGGCCACATCAGGCGGCACCGTAAGGGGGCGGCATAAGCAGCGAAATCAAAATATTATTTGAACCATTCAATAATTAAAAATTTTTACGCAACACTTTTCTATATTGATCTATGTTATTCCGATATTGATGTATATTATTAATGATTTATCGCACGCCTCTGCTTAAGTGCTTTCGGTACCCTTTGATTTCGGTTTATGGTGCAAATGCATTGTAGGAGAGCGGCAGTCAAAAGGCTTTTGACAAGACAGCGCAAAGCTATTGTTTTTGTTTGTAATATACCGCGCTACTCTCCTAAAAGCCGAGGCGGCAATTATCATAAAAGACAATTGCACGTGTAACGTGTTGATAGTTCTGCTTTGACCTTAAATTATTGACAATATTTGGCTTTAACGTTAGTTTGTCTCTATAAGTAGCGAGTGGCTGTGCTGTGTTTAATCAGTGAATC